GCTGTATATATATATATATAATATATATATATATATATATATATATATATATATACATATATATATATATATATATATATATATATATATATATATATATATATATATATATATATATATATATATTTCATATTTTTATGTCTTTGTTTGACATACGACAAAGCAGCAACACTCGCTAAGCACGAGGCGCGCATAAGTCTATACAATGAACTATAGAGTGCTCAAGAACGTGGTACCCCGAACGAGCATAAAAAAAAACGAACGAGTGGAAGGAAATAAAGTAAGCAAGACCTTGAGAAAAAAACTCAACAAAAAATATCGAAATCATATATATATATATATATATATATATATATATATATATATATATATATATATATATATATATATATATATATATATATATATATATATATATATATATATATATATATATATATACTCAACAACATTGACACTCACTTGCTATTTCAATAAAAATAAAGTGTACTGACTGACGGAACGATTGAAGATTCATGATCACCTAGCCCTTTCTGGTTTTATGCCAGGTAATTAATGATCCAGTGTAATTTACCTTACACCTTGGTTGATGCTTAGCTTTTCGCAGTTCATGTCGAGTTGTATGAGCATCATCGTCAAACTTCTTACATGCTTTGCAGACCTTGCTCAAGGGTTCTAACTTATTTCAATACATCAAAATAATCCAGCCTCGCATCACGTCTTGCAATTGGCAAAGTTGGGTCATATAAACAGTCCCTCATTAAGCAAATTGTGCATCCTACCGTTGATTCCTTGCGAGTGAGGCAGCACTTTCCTTGCGATAGAAACTCCTAGTATTATATACTGTACGTCATATGAATATTAATGCTTCATGTGGTAATAATAATAGGACTAGAAGTTACTATCGCAAGGAAAGTGCTGCTTCATCCCCAATGGATCAAAGTCAGCATGTGCAATTTGCTGAATAAGGGGCTGTTTATATGATCCTGCTTTGCCAGGACGCGATAGGAGGCAGGGCGATTTCCGTTTTAAGTACTATTTAAAACACGCATATGAGTGTTTTATCATATTTAAACGTTCATTTTTGATACGATGAAACACGACTATAGGTACAAGTGTCTTGAGTAGCTTAGAGTAGATGCCGTCCCATTAGTATTCTTTATATAAAGAATACTAACTAGGATGGACTTTTAGATAAAGAATACTAATGAAGGTGAGTTTTGTCAGGTATAAAACCATGTCATGTGACATATTATGGTGGACATGATTTATCATTATTTATTTTCTAATTGTGTGTTGTAATTTAATGTTATGCTAATGTATACGTCAAAGTGGCATAAAATTAGCAAATCACATTGGCATAAAATTCGGATTACCACATACCCAGATAACAGAGAAAATTAAGCATAATTTCGTTGAAAACACGTAGGTATATTTCAACGGATAACTGCATTGAAAAGGCAGTTCAAAAATAGCATATTAGAGTGGCATAAAATTAGATTACAACACAACTGGATAACAAAGAAAATTATTTATGAAAGTTGCGCCGGCAAAGATTATGGTTTTAATTCTGCATGAAAAATACAAATACCACTCGATTTATCTTCATATCCGCATTTTCCCCTCACATCCGTCCGTCCGCATTTTACACTCCCATCCGTCCGCATTTTACCCTTTCATCCGTCCATCCGCATTTATCCTCTCATCCGTCCGTCCGCATCCGCGTTTTACCCTAACCCGCAACAGGATACGTAACCCGAAACAAACATGTAAGCGAAGAACATGCCAAAGACAATAAGGCTGCAATTATAGACCTTATTCATAAATCGTGATCGAGGCCTCGTATCCTAGGAAACGGGGAAAAACGCGGGAAAATTGACAAAATGTTTTTTTGCTGTCGGCTATGGCAGCTTTTTATCGTCAATATTACGGCTTTTTTTCGAAAATAATATCTATAAAACTGAGTTTGAAAGTTGAAAAAAATACTTCTGAGAAAATATAACATGATATTTAAAGCAAAAGATGCTGGAGTCAATCGAAAAAGGAAACCTTTGACTTTGTATCATTGTCGTAGTTTGTATGGCCAAAACAAACAACCAACAAGGCTACAAAACGTCTATACAATACCAAAATCGTAAGAAATATGAAACTATTGTTGAAGAAATAAGATTACAACTCACTCAGGTAATGTAGCCTTCATTTTTTAAACTTGTAAGCTGCTTGCAGAATGTTATCGAGCCACAGCCATAGTTCATATTTTCCCGTACGAATCAATGACATTTGACGTTCTCTTGTGATTTTTGACCTGTTGTTTTCTTTCATATTAATGTCAAATTCGAAAAATTATACTTTCATTCCATAGTTGTCTTGATTTTTCACGGAATAACCTTTATATTGACGTTAAAATCTCAGTAAAATGCTGTTTTTCGCTTCTGGATAAAACACTGTCGCTACGTTGTCATTTTTTCCACAAAAAAAACGGGAGAAAAACCGGTCGCTTTTATAATATACTCGTTTCCCGCTTTCGTTGTGGGCACAAAGTCTTAAAATATACACATAAATCGTTATAAATCGCAAAAAGCAACAAGAAACAAGCCGTTGAAGTCGATATATAGCATCTGAATTTGGCTTGTCAAGCAGTTTTCGCTTGTTTTCCCGCGTTTTTTCCCCGTATCCTAGGATACGAGGCCTCGTCACGATTTATGAATAAGGTCTATTTAATGACATTATTTACATAATTTTGCTGAAACGCTCACACTTGAGGATAGCTAATCTTTTAGATTTCATAGTGCTTTGGAGATTTAGTAACACTAGGCGTGTCTCAATCGAATGCTGTAGTGCAGCTCTATATTTAATTCACTTCCGCTCCGCGCGTCCTCTGCTTCTGATATGATTAGTAATTAATTGTAAGGTTTGAATGAAAAAAATATTTGTGAACGGAAGTATATTGTAGGGATACTATTCAATATAAACAGATTGGCTCGAAAAATAATTTCTGAGAAAAGATTTGGTCAATTAATCTGTTAAGTTTTTGGACATGACAATAATGTTAGAACACATTAACCTTTAATCCTTGCTCACATTGTGTGAATTCTCGTAAGATAAACATACAAGACGTCAATTTGCTGAAATGTGCATTTTGAGGAATAGCTGTTTAATTAGTTTTGAGTTTGCTAGATGTTTCGCCTAGAGAACAGCTATATATTGTATAGTCTAATATTGGTTACTGATGAGAAGTTGTAAGCAAATATAAAACTTGCCATTTCAAATAGGAAACAAACATTGATGCTTTCAAGATTATAGCTACAATTTGCTATGTTAATATTCATTGTTAGAAAATAAAAATCTACCATATATATGCCTGTAAATGTTGTTAGTTCTGCATCACAACCTGCGCATTTGTCGTGTTTTGCCGAGATTATTTATTTTGCTAAGGTTTCCATCGATAACGCGGGAACTTCATCAACGCGAATAATTTATGTACGGCCGATGTAATATAAGAATATAGTTCTTCCCATATGAAGAAACGTTTTAGAGAGAAAATATTCCGACTGCATACATCGGTTAATGTGCATGCATAGAGTTTCCATTAGCTATATTCACTGAAAGAAAAAGTGCCCGTTTTTATTGAGATATAATACGACATTATATGTCTAATTGAAATTGCTTCTTCTTTATATATAAGAATTTTAAATTATCTCATGTGTTTTAAGTGCACCCTTAAACCCAGGTGATTTGTTTATAGGGACTTGTTTTAATTTAAATGAAACATATCATGTGTATAGGACCGAACTGGTTCTTTACAATTTGGACATTATCAATTTAATTCGATAGCGGACACATGCTTTAGGAGATTTGTTTTATACTTTTGGAAGAAGGGAAAATGGTGTCCCGTGACCTAAGAGACGTCATATAAAGTTTAATATTACATGCTTAGATTTATTTATTTCTGTATTGAGGATTTTTGTTTGTCTTCAGCGCATGATTCTACTGCATTTCTTCATGATCATTTTTCAACATTTTGAGCAGCAATTTTCTTTGTTGTACGTTAGCGACGCAAAAATACAATTTCCTGCGTTGATCGACTGTTATAAAACCTGGCAAGGTTTTAAAACCGCAGCAACAGAGCAGAAATTATGAGATTGAAGAGCTCTTCTTTCACTGTTTACGAGAAAATGAACACCATGTGAGATGCGGCAACATGAAATGTTTGATGTGAAATCCGTTTAAGCATTATATTGGCCGCATGCCATGACGCGGCATCCATATGTTTATTAAGTCATTGCATTTATGAGAAAATGGTCCAAATGGAAAGCTGTGTTAAAATGCTTTCCGTACTTTAAGATAAAAAACATCCATTCTGTTCGTTGTGGATTACTGCAAATACTCCCTTACACAAATTTCACATAACATTTCATATATGAAAATTTCATATATGAAATCGTTATATGGAATTGAAACAAATTTCATATATGAAATATTTCATATATGAAATATTTCATATATGAAATATTTCATATATGAAATTGTTTCAATTCCATATAAAGATTTCATATATGAAATATTTTATATATGAAATTTTCATGTATGAAATTGTTTCAATTCCACATAAAGATTTCATATATGAAATAATTCATATATGAAATTGTTTCAATTTCACATATAAAGATTTCATATATGAAATATTTCATATATAAAATTTTCATATATGAAACTGTTTCAATTCCACATAAAGATTTCATATATCAAATATTTCATATATGAAATTCCACATTCATCAAATATTTCATATATGAAATTCACATGTTTCAAATGTTCAAATATTAAGTTTTATGCATTGAAATTAAGCGAGTCAGGGGAAGTTTATGTGATCCCGAGATTAAACAAAGCGAGCAATGGCTTTGAGGTATTGAAATAAGTCCTTATTAAACCAGACAAGCACATGCTAACAACAGACTAAATATAGATCAATGCAAAAAAATATATTCGCACGAATTAGTGCTCAACAATTACATTTTGCCCATTTGATATTTCTACAGAACAAAATCAAAAGCCACCTGGATCATGTTATTTTTCCGAATCATTAACAAATGACTTATTTCAATATCTCAAAATCATTGCACGCTCGTTTAATCTTGTGTGAGCGGGATCATATGAACTGCCCCTTAGAAAAATCTACCTAAATAAGAAAGTTACGTGCTATGCAGGTTTGATATACCACATCAGACACTAGTTTATTCGAAATATACAAATTACAAAATAATAAATACTTAATTACAACATACATATATATTTACTCTCGGTTACAAAAAATATCCCAAATTTTGTGTGATTTTGAGGAAATTATCCATTCGGGACATTTTTTGATACACCCTGTATATGCATTGCTCAACTAAAAGCATGCAGAAATAAAAAATCAGGGGTGGGTTACCAGTAACACCATGCAGGGACAAGACCAAAGATTAAAATTAAGAAATGCATATAATATCATTACTAAAATATTAAAACAAATACTGTATGTTTGTGTTCTCTTAACAGTTCTCCTGCTTCTCCAGTTCACATTGAATCTTTTTCTTGCATTCTTAGTTAATTTCGAAAAATTCTTGGGCCTATCCACCTCAGTTAAGGCATTTGCTGTCAGCATGGACTAAAAAAAGAAATTATATGGTTTATAATACAGTAAAATTAATATATGTTGTGAGATCTGAATTTTCTTCTTGTCAGTGACTGCAGTCAAGCCTGTACTGTTTCAGTCAGTCACTGTCCACATGCCATACAACTAAATCGTTAGACAGAGTAAAATAATACTTAAAGCAGGGCGCATTGGCACAATGCAACTGAATGGATTAACTAGATTATTAGACATATGGGCAGATAGGCCAGTTAAGTTACTGTACCTATTAAATGCCAGAGCTCTTCCCTTGACGAGTAAATTGTCTGGCAGTAGAAAGAGTAAAATAATAAAGCAGGGCACATCGGTGCAATGCAACTCAACGGATTAACTAGACTAGACGCATGGGCAAATAGGCCAGTTAACCGATTAAGCACCAGAGCTCTCCCCTTGATGAGTAAATCGTCTGGCGTTAGACAGAGTAAAATAATAAAGCAGGGTGCATCAGGGCGCAATGTGTTAACTTATATCACAAAGAAAAATATCAGTAAACTTACATGCTTGCCCGTCTCGTTTTGGTGGGTCTGCCGGTCTCCTTGCTTGCCTGTCTTGTTTTGGTGGGTCTGCCAGTCTCCCAGTGCATGTGGAAGGGAAGCCATTATACATCTGAGGGTTAACTATAAAAGGGTACAAATGGTGCATATATTAAATAAGTATGTTGAATACGAATATACTGTACAGTCATACCAACACTCTCCCCTTAACAAGTAAAGTCGTTCGGCATTTCAAGACAAAGAAACATAACAAATAACTAGGGGTGCAATGGATATCATATCTGGCCAGATATTGAGATTTTACTTCATTTACTGTTACATGGCCACCCAATACTGGGTATTATCTACATAAGGTTCAGGCCTTCAAGATTTACAGTTACTGCAGGTTAGATGATTTGATTAGGTTAGATGATTTGATTAGGCTAAAAAAGCAGGGGTGGTTATCATATTTTTATTGAATGATTGATAACAGAAATGCTTGTAAACACTATTTTCAAGATTTTATATGCTTGTTTGTAAATGCAGATTTGACCATTAAACTAATGCAAGTGAGGCTTTTGCTACCAATGATGCATGTTTACTAGTGTTAGACTGTGAAGTTCTTTTCCTATTATTTCAAATCAAAATTTTATAAACACCATCACTTTTTAACCAATTAAAATGATTACTTAAATTAACTTTAAATGAGGCCTGAACCTTATATATTTGAATAATACCCTGAATCTGGCTCCAGGGATTTTTTTCAACTATCCAACATATCCTCAACTATCCAACATATCTGGCTGGAGGGCAAAAAGACTCTAGCCTGCACACCCCTACAAAGAACTTAAAGTATGTAACATAAGAAGAAATTGCTCCTAGGTGTTAATAGGTGAAATATGGGCAAGTAGTCCACAGTCGATAATCAAAATTGTCTAGCATGACACGTCAGAGTTGAATATCAAAGTACTTAAAGCAGGTAGTGTTAGAGAAAATTGTATCTAAATATATCAACATGAAACATGGGCAGAGTCTAGCTAGACACTTCCCTTAACAAATAAAATTGTCCGGCATTAGGCAAGATAACATTTAACAAAGTGCTGAAAATTGGGCTCATTGGAGTGAATCAGTGAAATGGGTAATAATTCCAAAAACCATCAAATATTTGCCGGGGTGTATATCTCAAATATATAAAATGTAGCCCAAAGGTTGTTACATATATTATTAAACAGATCATCTGATCATGCAGGTGGCATAAATAAATGTTATTTGCTGTGTTGGTGTAATGTACTCAGGTGAATAAGATGCTTGTGTGATGTTACTCTGATTGTACATCCTCACCAGGCCACGGTGGGATTCGAACCTACGACCTGTGGAGTACTAGCCCAATGCTCTTCCAACTGAGCTACGCGGTCAGGTCAGTTCGAGTATGCTATATTTCGGAACTGAGTCTAGTTCCTTCGATATCAGTGTAATCTAATAATCATGATATTTGCTGTGTTGGTGTAATGTACTCAGGTGAATAAGATGCTTACGAGTGTGATGTTACTCTGAGTGTATATATATATATATATATATATATATATATATATATATATATATATATATATATATATATATATATATATATATATATATGTGTGTGTGTTTTTGTGGCAGCTTGTAGAATATGTGATTTGGTGTGGATGCGTATCAAGCCTATACTCAGAAAAATTCTGAGCCCTAACGGGAATTGAACCACGTAACCTTCTGATTACCGGACAGACGCTCTAACCATTGAGCTATAAGGCATCAGATGGTGAGCCAAGGTTACGTTATTTACTAGTTCTGTGTGTTACATGGGTACTGCTAACTGCAAGTCTCGACATGGCTTGTTGATGTTATTATTAAGAACTGCATTTCTGTATATGTGTGTTTTTGTGGCAGCTTGTAGAATATGTGATTTGGTGTGGATGCGTATCAAGCCTATACTCAGAAAAATTCTGAGCCCTAACGGGAATTGAACCACGTAACCTTCTGATTACCGGACAGACGCTCTAACCATTGAGCTATAAGGCATCAGATGGTGAGCCAAGGTTACGTTATTTACTAGTTCTGTATGTTACATGTGTACTGCTAACTGCAAGTCTCGACATGTCTTGTTGATGTTATTATTAAGAACTGCATTTCTGTATTTGTGTGTTTTTGTGGCAGCTTGTAGAATATGTGATTTGGTGTGGATGCGTATCAAGCCTATACTCAGAAAAATTCTGAGCCCTAACGGGAATTGAACCACGTAACCTTCTGATAACCGGACAGACGCTCTAACCATTGAGCTATAAGGCATCAGATGGTGAGCCAAGGTTACGTTATTTACTAGTTCTGTGTGTTACATATGTACTGCTAACTGCAAGTCTTGACATGTCTTGTTGATGTTTCGATGTTAACGTAACCTTGACTCACTATCTGATGCCTTGTAGCTCAATGGTTAGAGCGTCTGTCCGGTTATCAGAAGGTTACGTGGTTCAATTCCCGTTAGGGCTCAGAATTTCTGAGTTTAGGCTTGATAGGCATTCAACAAAATCATATAGATATATAAGTTATATAGATATATAAGTTATATATAAGTTATATATATATATATATATATATATATATATATATATATATATATATATATATATATATATATATATATATATATATATATATATATATATATACCATAACATCACACAAGCATATAAAACTAAATGAATTCATATAAAGTTTGAAAGTTGCCACACAACCCATCAAATTGACAACTTTTATCTAAACTGACCCACCTATATATGAATAAATATTAGTAGAAACTTATGAAAGTACCAGTTAATTGGAAACAAATCGATAAATTCTCTCAAACCATGTTTACCTCGGACATACCTAGGTAGGCATATGAGAATTGAGTAGATCAAGTAGATGCCAAGCTATTATTTTATACAAGGAACACTTGATCTGGCAATCTGTCATATACACAACTAGTCTATTTGGCATTACAACAAACATAATTTGATGTAAAGGCTGAGTCAAATGTAAGCCTTTGTATAAAAACTAATGTATTTATATTGTCGCAGCGAATTCAAATTTTAAGACGGAACACATGCTCAAAATTCACGAATGAAGATGGTAAATATTTATATTCAAAATTGCTCTGTTATATAGAAAACAAAACAATTTTCTTACCTGGAAGTTACTCAGTCATCCCTGATGTTCCATCTTCGCTAAAATATACCATCTTCCAGTAAAATACTATAAATCTTTCGATCGAGCAGATGAAAATTCACTGCATTTCAAAAATATGGCGGTGTCAAGGACTCAAGGTGTGATCACTGGGTGTGATCGAATGATGCTATCCCAGGAAGCTTTGCGCGTGTTGTAGGAAAACTAGGCACCAGTCTGTCAACCGTCAAAAAGCGGTCATCATGAGAATTTTCGTTTCAAAGTGGTCTTTTGTATAACAAAAATACCTACCTCCACAAGCTATAATATAGTTCCCATGAAGTCATGAAGAATTTAAAATTAACTCAATCCCTCAATCAAAACGTTGGTATCGAAATTGAGGGGACCGGATTCAGGCCTGGAACACCTGGGGCCCAACTTGCGGGCATGGGGGCCCTGGCATGCTGGAATTGCGAAATTTGTAAAATTAAGGATTTGTTCGGTGAATTATGGAATTTTCTGGGAAATTTAGGTCGAAAATTAGTGTTGCGAAAACTTTTGGGGACTGTTGTTTTCGGAAAGATAACGTCGCCGCCCCCCCCCCCGGCACTCGCGAAAGTTCAAGAAACTTGAAGAAGGAATATCTTCAAAGAACTGCCAGCATTTCACATGTTGTCTTTTATTCTCCTGTAACATAACGGTTGTAAATGTAGTTTCAATTCGAGTTGCAAATCTATTTCTTTGATTTTTTGCAAATCTATTTATTTTTTACCCCTTCAGGACCCTCTTCCATGACCACGGAGTCAAAACTACCCTTGGAGTTGAAACAGGGGCGTAGGAACCAAGGGGCCAGGGGGGCCAAGGCCCCCCAAGTTTTCAAAAGTGCCCTCTTTTCGGTGGCAAAGTGCCCTTTGTGTTCGTGAGAAATGTTGTCAGGGGTGCCCTTTTCATTCTAAAAGTACCCCTCGAAACCGCCCCCCCCCCAACTTTTTTATGATTCCTACGCCCCTGAGTTGAAACGACCCTTTCGAGGTGTAGAAACTATACCCTCTTTCCAAAGAGACGGAAATGACACCTAGGGTTAAAAAAGGTCAGATCTACTCTTTTGAATTTTAATACAGTGTAGGCCAGTTCCAATTACAATTCACTATGACATGAATTAGGCTACGTGTATGAAATTACTTTAATTGTCATATGTGAAATGTATAATTTCATAATATGTGAAATATATAACTTGATTTTCATGTATGAAAATTCACATATGAAATTACCAATATTCACATATGAAATGGATTTCATATATGAAATTTCTTTTTTCATATAAA